TTCTTTCAGTTAAAGTATACATAGTTTCTACCCCTTCCTCTCTCCTTCCGACTCCTCCCATGCCTCCCCATTTCCTCTCAAATGTATAACATTATATTTTAATTATTATTATCATACATATATGCTCATCTTGGAGAAGACTGATGCCCCCTCTCTCAGCAGCTACTAATTATCTGCAGTTCTTCCTCAAGGGCGGGGCCTGGAAGGTCTCCTCTATCCACCTTGGCCTGTCACCTGGCGTCACTGTGCTGCTATTGTTTAGAGGGTCATATTGTTGAGACATCATGGATGCAGCTTCCCTGCCATACACTGGAAACTCTCTCAGCAGACATCGTGGTCCTCTGGCTCTTACAGCCTTCCCATCCTTTCTTCTGTGATGTTCTGAGTCTTGGGTATAGGGGTTGTGTTATACATGTGTCATTTGCAGTTGAGCACTCTGAGGTGTTATTAGTTGAGACCATTTCTCTCCCTCAATGTGGAGCTCACTGATTGGCTAGTTCGGCTGGTTTGTGCTCTTCCTGGTTTTGGTTCCTCAGGGATTGAGGACCTGTGTTGCCACATCCAGCCTGTTTTTTGAACTCTGGTCCTCATGCTTGCATAGTAAGCACTTTATTCACTGGGTCACCTCCCAGCGCTGATTTTGTTTTAAAGGGTTACATCTTTCTTTAAAGGTGCTACAGGCATTGGTTGGATGGGCTTACCTCCGGCAGCTCCCGTATGAAAACCAGGTCCCACAACCTTCACAGCAACTTCTGTCCAATGAACGCAAGAATGTGCTTACTTTCTTAATGGATTAATGAGCTGCGAGCCTACCTCTTAATCGATGACAAGCTATTGGAACTGTCTCTGTCTCATAGGACACTGAATTCTTTTTGAGGAAAATAGACACACACTTCTGTGAACTGCAGAGGAGGTTAATTTAATTAGAGGAAGTAGCTGTCTAGCCAGTTGGTAGACGAAGCATGCAGAATGTAGGCCATATTGCTGGCATAATTATTTCAGATGCTAACAAGTGAGAGAGCCTTTTTGATAACTCCGTGAATCAGACTTTAGTTGTCAACAGTGGGGGGCTCATTCCTTTTTACATTCACCAGATGCAGTGCCCACCACAGTTGGTCTTTATTCTTCCCATCCTGGTATATGGCTGCAACAGAACTCAAGAAAAGGCTGACCCTGACCTAGAACCTCGACAGATGTTTGAATCACTTAGCTTTTCAAGTATGTCTTCCTGTAGATATATATGATTAACTTCCTTCTGATCCAATGTATAAAATAAGTACTAACACTTATGCTTCTATTTGCCATCATGAATGGTGCAGATTTAAGACAGCATAGGAGATGCCTGGGGACTCAGTCAGAGTGTCTGTATACCTAGACTAGGAAGAATACGCACTTATACCATCTTTAAGAGCTATAGTGCAGGAAGCTTCCTGCCTTCCTTTTTCCATGCTTCCTCCTGTCTTACGTTTATTATTTGTGTGTGGATGTGTGTGTGTGTGTGTGTGTGTGTGTGTGTGTGTGTGTGTACACAGGCACCTGTGGAGGACAGAGGACAGCTTTCAGGAGTTTATGGTTTATTTTTTCCCTTCTCACCATGGGTTCCAGATATTAAATTTGGATCCTTAGGTCTGTGCAAGTATTTTCCTCCTCTGAATTATGCAGCCCACCCTTTCACTAGTATTTTTGAGGCAAGATCTCCCACTCAACCTCAGCGCTTTCTGACCTCAACATCTCAGTGCGGGGGTCTTTTCTCTGCAGTATTTGTTCCACAGCTCTTGGAAAGTGTTCTCACACTGCCTCCCCGTCCTGTAGTGAAACCACGGACAGAGGTCTTTGAACGCTCCGCAAAAGAAGACTGACACATTGAAACTTGATTGCAGAAAGCAGTCATGTTCCTGGCACTGATAGTCCACCTGACACTGGCTTTGTGTCACAACTTTGAAACTTGATCAAAATGTGGGAGGCAGGACAGCTGCAGGCAGGACAGGCTGTGAGAGGGCACGTGTTGTTAGTGCCATGACTATGCCCCACTGGAACAATGAGCAGGAAAGGACCATCAGTCTTTGCGAGCAAACCTTGAGCTTTCCTAATCAACGTTACACAATTGTTATATTCGTAGACAGATTTCCCTGGCAGGTTTATTGACTTTCCAGTAAAACCAGTCAATTTGTAAGGTTATTATTAAAAATATTTTAAAAAGACATGGTTTCTGTTTAGTTGTCAGAATGAATTATTGATCTTAGGGAATTACCATCTGACTTTATCATTCATTCATTCATTCATTCATTCATAGATAAAGTCTTGTGTGCCCAGACTGGCTGCAAGCTTGCTAAGTAGCCAAAGATAGCTTTGAACTTTTGATCCTAAACTCAGCTACCTTATCTGTTTAATGTAGTTTGATCCCAGGCCTTCATGCCCAGGTAGGTATCAAGCACTCTACCAACTGAGCTACCTTCTCAGCATCAGCTGATTTCTTTTAAAAAGATTTTTTTTTCAGTGATGTTGGCAAATGGAATCTAAACATTGGCATTATGCTTTAATAAGGGATGTATCTTTCATTTGGTTCTTTGTGTCATAATGAGACATCACCTTTAAATTGATGATTGGTGGTCCTAAAAGATGTGTTTTGTTTGTTGTTTTGAGACTTGATCTTCTGTAGCCCTGGATGACCTTGAACTCACTTTGGAAATGACCATGACCTTGAAAGCCAGATTCTCCTGCTTCCACCGTCCAAGGGCTGGGATTCCAGGCATGTGTCACTATACCCTGCTTCTAAAATGCAATGTACTAAAAGAGAGAAAATGGACTTAGACCCCAAACATCTAAAGTTACAGCTTTAGGCAAAAACTTATCTTTGACTATGAAACCAGACTTTGTACTAGAGGGAAACTTGAACACAAACTCTTTGCGGCAAACATTACCCTTTGTTCGTTGTCTATTCTGCGCCAAGTTACTAAACAAACAGAGGAACAAAAACCATCTGGGGCAATCAGGGTGAACATCGGTGAGGTGATTTGAGCTGGTTTCACGTCTACAGGCAGAGCAGACAGCAGCTGTCTTACACACAGAAATACTTAAATGTGTTCAATAGAGCTAACATAAACCAGCCTGTCTCCAGTGCAGGGATAAAAGCCCTCAAAATGGCTGTCAAAACTGCTTCTGAACCTACAGTGGTACAGACAGTACCAACCTTTTAAAATAAGTTCTTGTAATGAGCATGTTTAATGAGGTTCTTCTTCTTTTTCTTTGGTTTTTTTTTTTTTTTGAATATTTAGCTCATGAAATAATTCCTAGGGCACTGGTGTCAGAGAGGACGCCAGAACTGCACATCTACTGGCTGACATTTTCAGTTCTATGCCACAGAGACATCCTGAAAACACATGGCTAAAACTGAACCCTGAGCCAGTCATGATGGCTCACTCCTATAACCTCAGCACCCCCACGGCTGTGGTAAGAGATTTACTGTGACTTCAAGGCCAGCATGGGCTACCTAGCAAGTTACAGTTCAGCCTGGGCTATGAAGACCATCTCAGACATTGTACTGTAAAAGAAGACTGAGCTGATTTCTCCCATCTTCACTTCCTATCCACATGTCCTACCACAGGAGAAGGGAAGTATAAATCTGTGACAAGAAGTACCAGAGGCCTGCTGTGGCTTCAGTGTGCAATGCCCCCCATCCCCCACAGATTCCTATGTTTGAATACTTGGTTTCTGGCAGCTGAGGCTGCTTTTGAAGGTTATGGAACCTCTTTAGGAGGCGGAGCTTTGCTAGGGGATGTGGGTCACTGGCCTTGAGATTTGACAGCCAGGCTCCACTTCCTGTTTCGATCTCTTCAATGTGCCCAGCTACTGTTGGGGGTTGGTCTGGTGTTGCTAATGTATTCATATGCTAAATTCTGTATCCCCAAGACTTGGCTGCCCCAAGACCAGCAAATTCCCTCATACACTAGCCCTTGTTGAGTAAACCTCGCTCCCCAATTTAAAATGATTGGTTAAATAAAACTGATGATAGCCAATTACTGAGGTGAACAGAGGTAGGCAGGGCTTGGGTGACCAGGTTGGAGGTCGCAGATAGGGACCACAAGAAGAAAGGGAGAGAAAGAAGACTCTCGGAGGAGGAAGATGGAGAGAAGAAGAGGTCTCCATGGGATATGATGGATCAGGAGCACGTGCCCAAGTGAAATGGATCCTGAGGACAGGTTGGTGGAGCAGAAATAATCCAGGAAGACTCAAACAGCAAGTATTTGGTTTGGGGGAGGCACAGCTGGGGAAGTAGACAGTTTAACATTAAGAAAGATACATTAGGGGTAATTCCCCCCAGTAATTGCACAAAGCTACACAAAGAAATCATAGTCCGAGTCTCATCCGTTTGAAAGCTAAGACAGGGATAGATATAATTAAACTTATTTCACAAGTTACGTCATGTTCCTGCTACCACGCCTTCCCCACAGAGACGGACTGCATCCCTTAAAACTATAAGCCAAAATAAATCCATCCTTTTTGAAATTGTTCTTATTAGCTATTTAAACAGAACAACAAGTGACTAAGACAGGGCCTTAGACTTCACAGGAAGCTAAGGGAAACTGGATTACATGTGGAAAACGTGTGTGACTCCAGCCACACTGAGAAGCTGGGAAAAGCAGATGGAAACAATCTAGGGACATCGAGAGTCAGGAACTGGGGAGGTTTGAGTGTCATCCATGCAGGCAATGAACTGAATGGAGACAAAAGAACACTGAGGAACTGAAGAGGTAGAGATGGGGCAGGGGGGGAGGGAGGGAGAGGGTGCAGAGATACCTGTCACACACAAAGGGAGTTCAACCAGGAAAAGGCAGTGTCTGGAATGTCATTGATGATCAGGAAGGAACCACTGATGTCACCCTGGGAGTACCTCCAGGTGACTAGACTAAGGAAACTCCAGTCGGTAGGGCGAGCTGCTGCAGCCTTCACCTGACCTACTGTTGCTTCTCTCTGCTCAGAGCCTGATGTCCCTGGATCCCAGCATCTGCCTCTTTGAAAACAGACGAGGCAGAGTCATGGTTTCAAAGAAGCTGATGAAAACATTTCCAATAGTGAAGGGATAAACTAAAAGGTATGCATCCCCTGTTATTCCTACAGGTACATGAAAGGGAAGACTTTCAGAAGGGACTGAGCTGAGTTGTGGGCAGTATTATCCAGGAGAGGATTTACAGTGAAGACTGCCTGTGGGATTTCAGTTTCATTCTAAAATACTAAAGAGACACAGGAGCCTTTCTGCCACTTTCTGCCACTTTCTTTCCTTCTTGTTTTATTTCTTAATTAGAAAAAAAAAACAACCCTGGTTACATAAGGCAACTATAATGCAAATATGTAATATGATCTGACGGTGATTTTCATTTTGACTTTTAAAATATAACTTTTACATATGTGTGTTACCGAGTGTGCAGGTGCACCACATGCATCCAGGTACCCATGAGGATGACAGATCCCTTAGAACTGGAGTTACAGTTGAGTTGTGAGTTGTTGGGTGGGTGATGGAGTTGAATGTGGGTCCTCTACAAGAACAGCAGAGCTCTTAACTGCTGAGCCAGGTCTCCAGCTCCATTTTGACTTTTTTTTTTTTTAAGTTTAAATTTTTTAAATTATTTTTTTATTTTTATTTTTTTAAGATTTATTTATTTTATATATGTGAACACACTGTAGCTGTCTTCAGACACACCGGAAGAGGGCATTGGATCCTACTACAGATGGTTATGAGCCACCATGTGGTTGCTGGGAATTGAACTCAGGACCTCTGGAAGAGCAGTCAGTGCTCTTAACCACTGAGCCATCTCTCCAGCTCCTAAGTTTAAATTTTTTTAAAAAACTTATTTGTGTGTGTGTGTGTGTGTGTGTGTGTGTATGTGTTGACACGTGCATTCATGATGTGCGTGCAGAGGTCGGAGGATGTCTTGTGTAAGTCACTTCTGTCCTTCCACCACATGGTTCCCGGAGATGAAACTCTGGTTGTCAGGCTTAGCATTACACAACTCTTAACTGCTGAGCCATCTCTCCGGCCCTGTCATTTATTTTATTTTATTTTTTAGGTATCATCTTCTCACTTTGTATCTCTTGCTGACAACAAACAAATCAACAAACAAACAAGCAAGCAAACGATAAAACAGAACAAACCAAATGCAAACAAACACCCTCCCCCTAAAAAAAAAAAAAATCAAACCAGAATTCATCTTGGTATTTAAACAATTAGTTTTTACTTAATATAACTTTACTGTTCAAAAATTATACTTACTATAGCTACAACATAGTTTATAAGGACCAAACTTTTATAGTAAAACCTTGATACACAAACACCAGTGATGTGAATACTGTATGTATGTAGAAGCGATTCAAAAACCGAAAGTGACAGCCAGCGAGGCCTTCCTAGGCACAATCTCGATGTCCCACTGGTTCCAACAGCTTAGCGCTACGCTTGGTCACACAAAAGCTGCTGAGTGCTCAGCCATGTGCAGAGACAAGACAAGGAGAGCGTTGCTGCTCACCTGGAGGAGTGTGTACTATCAAGACTAGAAAACCCAACCAGAGCCAAACAACTGATTTGAGAAGCAACAGTCTCTGGCTCTTGGGCGTTTGTCTTTGAGGCTGGTTAGCCTGGCCAATGGAAAAGGGACCCATCTATAATAAGCGTTAGAGACCAGTATGGGGTTGTCTGATAGTATGGGCGACTTCAAAACTACAGAGCAAAGGTTGAGCTATTTTTGGAACAGAACCATGAGTATTACAAACGAACAATGAGGACTGAGTCCCCTCCCCATCCCGCCCCACCCCTCCTCTCCCCACCACCACCCTTTGTCTTAGGGATATGCAGACAAATAAGAATTTTCAAAGTGACTCAGGAGAAAGATATTTAAGATGAGGAGTTAAGATTTCTTTCGTTTTTCAATGACTATAAAGAGTATATTGTGTTTCCTTAGAAGTTTCCTCTTCGTGTATATGTCTGTGTTTGCAAAAACATGGATCGAAGTATGCATTCATGCTAACATGATGTTCACACCGATAAAGGTGAACATGTAAAAATTAAAAAATAGACTCTTATTCTTCAGGGCACAAGACTACTTCATCATGTTAAAGTTGTCTAAAAGGTAAAAACATAGAATCTCTAAGGCTTCATTTTCTTCAACTAGGAATTAAACGGAAAGGAAGAAATAGGCAGAACTTTTCCTTATCAGTTACAGTCTTCATGATACCATGGGCAAAGACTTCTTTTCCCTTTAACTGCTGTGTTTACTAGTTATCATATGGAAGTACAAATCACGCACAAATCATGATCAAATGTTAACTATTTCAAAACGCCCATAAAAGCTCGCCAGAAAAGATACTGTTTTCCACAGCACAGAACTGCAGGCCGCTGACATAGACGCCGGGGCTATGGTGACATCTAGCTCCTATTAGCTGCTTGCTTCTGTTTGCTAGAGGAGACGCGGGAAGGATGTCTCTTGGATGTCAGGCCATGATTTCTGCGGGTTCCGTGACCAGTTTGGATCCATCCCATATTGTCTTGAACTGCTCAGGAATGGGAAATTCTCTCTGGAAGAAGTTGAAAAGGACAGTTATTTATATGGTACGCTCCTGCAGACAGGTTGAAGGATCATGGGTGACATATGATGGGCGAAAGAAATTGTATCAGATCTCAATCTGCACCATAGAGAGGCTGAGTTACTGGCAGACCAGCATGGTCTGTGACTTCATGCTGGGATCATCCTATCATCTGTGCTTATGAGGAACCAGGCTTACTTTTTGAGACAGACCTCAAATACCCAGGTTAGCTTTGAACTCACTTTATACTTGACTGAAGCTGACCTCAAACCTCCAATCCTTCTGCCTCTACCTTCTGAATTTTGGGATTACAGGTATCTGCCACGGGTTAATGTAGAACCCAGGACCTCATTCATGGTAGGCAAATACTGCACCTGAGCTACACCCAGAGCCTCAAGTTAGGCATTCGTATGAGAACCAGACACGAACAAACTCAGGCGACCTCTGAAGGCCTCCTGAGCTCAGGGCTGCTGAGATGTCATCCCCAGGGAGCAAGGTCTGTGAGTTTCAGCAGCGGGGTCTGGAGTGACAGTGGCAGGAAGCAGAGCAGCCAACATACCAAGTTCTCTTAGCTACTGACCTCCATCAAACAGGCGCGGATTCAGCCTATGATCTTAGTAACAGGCAGATTCTGACTCAGCAAGACTGGGAAAGAGAATGAGAAGCTCTGGTCTTCAAATTCTCAGGGGAAATCAGTGTGCGAATGGGCCAGACTTATTTATTCTTTGAGACATTGTAGAAATGTCCTCAGGGCTTGAGAACACGTACACGTACGCAAGTGCCAACCCACACACCACACAACCCCACACACCACACATACACTCCACACACCACACAACCCCACACACCACACATACACTCCACACACCACACACTACACACACACATACACACACACACGCACACACGTACACACACACATGCATATAAGCACACATGAACTCAAGCCCCTTGGCTCTGGCTTCTGGAGCCTCACTAGATTTTCCATAGAAATGATTTATTTACTTATTTTACTGTAATAAAGAATACTAGAATGAAATCTTCAATAGACAAACCAAATTATTTTTGATACAGGGTCTTGTACTTTGTAACCCAGGCTGGCCTTGATCCTCATCATTCTCCTATCCCAACCTCCTAGGTACTAAGACTCCAAATGTAGGTCTTCAGCCACAACAGGACTATTGTTGAGCAATCTAATGCACCTGTGTACCTGCTGTCACTTCTGATATTCTTCTTTGAGTGCAAACATAGCTTTGTGTTTGTTCTCAAGTGGAATGTTCCAGACCTGGAGTTGGGGATGGAACTCAGGTCCTACTGTGTGCTAGGAACAGAGATCTCTGAGCCCTATGCCCAGCCATGAAGAAGGCCTCTTTGGTAGTATGGTGCTGCAGCATCAGAGATATGGATACATCCATGGCTCTTCTCTGGGAGGTTGGTTTCCATCAGGATGAAGCATGCCCACTGTCCATTCCCACATCCTGACACCCAGGGCAGGGTCTGCACTGCTCCTCCCCACATCCTCCTGGAGAGTGAGTGAAGAGGTCCAGCAACTTGAGGGAGCAAGGTCACTGATTCAAAGAGGCAAAGGTTCTTTTTAATAAAAAAATAAAAGCAGGCTTTGACTATATTTCATTCTGTAAGTCAGTGGTTCTTGACCTTCCTAACGCTGCCACCGTTTAATATTGATAGGTGACCCTGTGAAAGGGTTGTTAGACCCCCACAAGGGTCATGATCCACAGGTTGAGAACCACCGCTTCTAAGCCAGTGGGTCTCAATCAGGGCTCTGTACTTGAATCCATTTGGACATCTTAAACACTTACAGATGCCTGGTAGCATGCTCAGAGACTAGCTTAAGGACTCTGAGGTGCTCATCCAAACCCCGAAGCTTATCTCAGATGATCCAATTCCCACACAGCTGGACGTTCTGCTTAAACAGCTACAAAGACCAGGGATGGCCTGACATGTGGCTGTCCTTACTCTGCTGCCCGGCTGTACTGGCTGAGAGCCCAAGAGGGAATGCTTGTCTCAAGTAGGGTCAGCATCTCCACAGGCAAGTGGTGAACCCATGACTCACTGTTTGCACAGTATTGTGCTTTAAACTCAAATGAGGCATTCTAGGCTACAGTCTGTGGTATGTGAGGGTAGGGCCCGAGAAAGTACCGAGGGATATGGATAATATCTGCTTTAAGGAAATCAACCTGACTGCTGATTGCAACCTGTAGATAGCTGGTAAGTGTCCCACCAAGCTGATGTGGCTCTTCTCTTGAAAGCAGCCACATGTCTCATTTGCTGCCTCCTCCTGCCCTGCCCAATTAGATTTAGAACTCTCCGTGTGTTAGTTTCTACACACAATGAGCAGATCTGCTGTACTTCAGAATCCAAAAACATAGGTTTACTTAATCTTACTCAACGTTGACATGGGTGGACATCTAAAGCGATTCTCCTAGAAACTGCTTCATTGGGGGAGAGGATGTAAAGGAAGTTCTGGCTGAATTACTTGGGCTGGTATTTCTAAATGGAGAATTCTATGGGCTGATGGTATGAGGACTTACTTGGGAGCCTGCTAAGAATCAAGATTCTGGGGGTGGTGGGAAGACGGCTCAGTGGGCAAGGTGCTTGTCTGTCTAAGCAGGAGGGCCTGAGTGTGCATCCCCCAAACCCATACATAAACCATGCCTGCAATCTCTGCCCTTCTATGATAAGATGGAGGGAGGAGAGAATAACCCCCAGAAGCTTTGACAATGGTGAACAAGAACTCCTGTGTCTCCAATAAGGTGGAGGGAGGCAAGAACTGACATCAAGGTTTTCCTCATACCTCCATGTGTCACGGCATGAATGTACTTCCCCACAGAACTCGGATTCTGGGCCCCATTGTGAGGCTTCTGAATCCAACTCCAGGTTTTTGTTTGTTTGTTTGTTTGTTTTTGTTTGAGTTTTGAGCCCTTTCTGTCGAGCTTCCTGGTAGACCTTTAAGTTAAGAGGAGCTTTACTCTCTTTTTGGCTCCCTCCCTCACCTGCCTGTTACGATGGCTTCAAATGAAGCCCATGAGAAGGTAGGTGAGGAGCCCCTCTCCAAAAGTGCTAACATGAACATGCCACAAAAACCTTCCTGGGCAGGCTTTTGGAAGGTACTTACATAATCGTCACCCTGAGGGACCAGGACGTTCATCTCGGACGACTTGGCACTCACAATCTCACAGTCTAGGGCATCTTCACTGAGGTACAGGTGACATCCTTCTGTCTTATTAATGGAGATTGTTGGCACTCTCCCCATTACCTAAGATAAGAAAAAAAAATGGGACCGAAGCAAAGAAATAAAAATGGCCATGCCCAAGCAGGTACTCTCTGGAGTTCCTCCTGAAGCTTAGCTTTAGGACTCATGAGGCAGAATGTCTGTCTGTCTGCCTGTCTGTCTGCATGCAGGGTAAGTGTCATCTGAGGACAGAGTGAGAGGACTATACAAGGGGGAATCCTAAACAGGCAGAATTTCTCTTTCTTGAGATGAAATTAAGGGATTAATTTGAAGGCAGCAGCTAAAATGTTCAGAAAAGCCCCACAACCTGTTAGTGAATCTGAAACGCCTATCTGATTTCACGATAAGAGAAACAGGATTCATTTGCTTAAAATCTAAGTTTTGACAGTTATCTCTGAGACTGGGGCTAGAACAAATATCCATACAGACACTGAACAATAAGATTAATTTCAAATAGAAGCTAGGTAGATTGTTCCCAAACTTCAGAACAAGTAAGGAACTCTTGATTCTTCTCACGGAAGTCATTTGCTGGGCAAGAGTCTGAGGGCTGAAGGTGAAGTTCAACTGAGATAGGTGTCTAGGTATTTCAAAATGTACTCAGGTCAGGAGCTCAAACTGAGGACATTCACCCAGATAATCGGGACCCTTAAGCAAGAGGAGGCAGCCTTTGTACTGTTTACAAGTCTTTTAAGTCCAGTAAAAACTCAGACCAGTTTTAAGTTTCTCTTCCAACAATCAGTTTTCAAACCTTCCCACAATGTCCTCAGGGATATACCATTCTCCCAAAGACTTCATTACAGCTCTAGAAGTTTCCTTCTTGTAATGGTAATTAAAGCAATAAAGACATCTCTCCTTTCAACCTGAAGAAAAGGCTAGTTTGCAAACCAAAGGAACACATTCTGTCTGAGGTATAGGTGCCCCTCAAGAATTCCTTGTGGGGCGTCTAGCTGGTCATTGGGCTTCTCCTTCTCCTCCTCTTGCTCCATAGAAACTGGATACTGAGTTGAATTGAAGCCCAGAGCAAGAGAAAGGTCCAGCTGGGTCGTTCAAGGTCAAGCAACTACAGGCAGGGCTCTACCTGAGATAAAATAGTATATATACAGGAGTGTGTGTGTGTGTGTGTGTGTCTGTGTGTGCATGTTTTTGTCTGTGTGTGTATATGCATGCATGTGTGTGTGTCTGTGTTTGTTTTAAAAATGTGCCTAGACATGTTTTCATGACTTCTAGACTTCTTTATGCTACAAGAATGAAAAGCATTTACACGCCAGCCTCAAGCCCATGGATACCACCAGCTAAGCTAAGGAAATTGAGGAGCTGCCAGTGACTTCTAGAGGCTTGGCTTATGAATATTTCTCAGTAATAATTTAAAAAATTTCCACTGACAGTGGTTGTCTGTCTTCTCCAATCTGTATGTTTTCCTAGAACACTTTTTTTTTTGCCAAAAAGAAAAAAAAATAGGATTTCCAGGCCAAATAATTTGAACTTTAGCTTTTTCTTTTCTTTAAATAACATTATTGTAGTAAAATCTGAAAATATATGAACCTCCCATTTTTAAGTGTACAGTTGGATGCCATTTCACAAATGTACAGCGTTGTGCAATCAGGACCACAAGCTGCTTTTAGAATAGTTCCACTATTCTAAAAATATCACTAATGGCCACTTACAGTCGGTCCCCATCTCAGCCCCAGGCAGGTAAGTGATTTCTGCTTCAGTTGCACCCAGGCCCTTTTCAGACAATTTACTAGGCACTTTAACTAGGTAATGGCTCTCTCTTGGTTTGAGCATCCAGAAATTTACTAAGTGTTCTATCAAATGTTTCTCTTGTCTCCGAATTGCTCCTTCTAGGTCCTTCCACAGGCAACCAGTGGCTCACCCTTCCCAAGGTAACTGCTCACAATGCATGGTTCACATCCTTAAAAATGTAACAAGATATTTCAGGCATGGAAACAAACAAAGAATAATAGATACATGTACTTCCTACAACAACTTTATTAGTGTTGCATTCTGGCTTATTGTTTGAAAGCCAATCTCCCTCCCTCCCTCCCTCTCTCCCTCCCTCCCTCCCTCCCTCCCTC